TAAAAAATAAAATCCTTAATCAGCCCCTTCAAATAAGGAAACAGAAAAGTTAGGCTTTTATTTTTTTTTAATTTTTTTTGAGACATGGGGTCTCACTATATAGACAAGGCTGACCTCAAACTAAAGATCCTTTTGCCTCTGCCTCATGAGTGCTGTTATTACTACACCATCATGCCACAGTGCTTTCTGTCATTTTCAACTTTCTTAATACTTGAGGGAAAACATCTGTATTACACAATCTCAAAAGTAATTTCCTATTATGAAAATCAGGTTGGATATATAATAATATGCTTATCATTGTGGCTGTAGCCCAGCAGAAATCATAGCAGGAATAAGTTTCTGATGTTAAGGAACATCAGACCCACAGGAAGGATAAAACTTTGAGTTAAATAATCATAAAATAATAAATCATCAAAAGTAAATGGCATATCTGAAATTATATTCTATTAATATATAACTGTTTTTTAATAAGTTGGGTATGTATTTCTGTAAATATAAATAATTTATGTCTATGTCAAGCCTTTTATTAACTTTGAAGTTAACATATCTAAAAGTAAAACAGAATCAATTTGGGCTAGGAGAATACAGCTTAACATCTTAAGACACTTTCAAATTTGAAAAACATGGAAGTTACATGATCTATTTTTTGGCCTCTTTTACAGGTATTTGGATGATATTGATGATGAGATGGACCCAGAGATTGAAGAAGCTTATGAAAAGTTTTGTTTGGAATCAGAGCATAAGCGAAAACAGTAAAGTTAAATTTGAGTATGTCAGTTTTTTAAAACAGTTTAGGTATGGTGAATTAGCAGACCAGAGGAAAGCAAGAAAATGTCAGACTTATACCAAATTAAGGATGTTATGTTACTAATGTATGCAATTTTAATTTTGTTTAACACTATCTGCCAAAATAAACTTTATTCCCTATAACTTAAAAAGTGTATATATATAAAATAGTTTATTATGTACAGTTAATTCCACTGTTTTGGCTGCAATAAAAATCGATTTTGAAATAAATGAAATGTTGAAGGTGAATTTTGCTAGCTGCTTAGATGCTTATTGTTTGATTTCTCCTTTTTTCTTGAGGGAAAAACTCTTAGCCTGGAAATAAATATTACTGCAAAAATGTAGCATTCTTTTTAGACTATTATAGTTCTTATTTTAGTTTGAAATTTGTCTCAATAAATTGATTTTTAAATATTAATCACGATCATGAAAATCTTTAGCACCAAAGTCTTGGAATATGTCGATAACTGATTTACATATGTAGATGCTATTTGATACCAAGGGCTTTTAAAATGATTAGTTGAGGGGTAGAGGGGGCTTAGAGCTCCAGCTAAAGAGCCAAGACTTCATTGGGGATTTATTCTAGTTCAAGAGTCTTCACTTTTTGTTTCATTCACCTAACTAACTTCATTACCCTCAGTATGGCTTTCTCATTTTTATTTCACAGCATGGTACATGGCATTGACTTTTTTACTAGAGAATTTTACTAGGTACTTGTCATTCAAGTTTTCATCTGCTTTATAATTGATACCTTGAGGATCACTTTTCTAATACTTCTACTATAACATACCACCTCAGCCCTATTAATGTTTTTACCTAATGTCAAATCTTTTTTCCAACTAACTAAAAATGAAACTTATGTATAAAAGGGTTGCTTGTAAATATGCATGTAAATAGTTCTGTTAATAACCCATTGTTTTACATTTGGTACATCTGTGTCTGCTTATAGTTAGTGTTCTCACTTTCTGCCTGTTTGTTCAGTCCAAATTAAAATTAGACTTTGAAAATAAAACTTAGTTTTGTTTCTTATAAATTTGGAAATGGCATTTTAAAGTATTGTTAAACTTATATAAATTTATATAAAGCTTTAAAAATTAGAGAAGTTACTATAAGATTGCACATACTAAATACCTATTGAGTCATTCAATAACAAATCTACATTGAAAAATTAACAAATATATAAACTTAGATTCCATGTGATAAAGGATATGTAGTATTTGTCATAGAATTCTGAGTCCTATAACATGGTGGCTATTAACACATCCTGCAGCTCTCTGAACATTTAGCTAACAGTATGTTAGAACAGATACCAGGAAATACTGTGTATATTTTAAACATCTAGTAGTAGTTGTATGAATGTACAATATTTGACCACTTAGCTCGGTGTCACCATTTACTATAGTCACAGTAGCTACCCACAGAATCTGTGTACTTTCTAGATACTCTTTCTACTTAAAAATCACCCGGGTCTGGGAATGTCTCTTAATGGTAGTTCACTTGCATGCAAGTCTGATTCTTCTTAGCATTACAGGTTAATTAACTTAGTATTAATGCTTAGTGGGGAAAACAACAGACTGTGGATAGCTTGAGCAGATGGAGACTATAATCATCTGGCATCATCTTCTTACATGGCTGATGACTTGAAGTTAGGTTTTAGACCTGATGTTGATCAGAACTGTTTATATTTTACAGTTGGCTTATTCATTTCTCACAGCATTTTGCTGGATTTTGAAGCTGGGCATGCCAAAACACTCAGAAAGATGCTGCATTCAGAAGTCATGCAGCAATATATATTTCCTTGATTCTAAATGAGTCCCTAAATCATATCAGCTAGGAGGCCATCAAGGAACGTGTAGCTGTCTTCTAATTTTATAACTACATGACGAGTTGGCACTGTGTCACAATTGTCCTTTTAGAATTGCCATGTCTTCAACAGGAAAAATATGAATGTCCTGTAGGATGTATTAATACAGCGTTTTCCAGTGAGTACAGGCTCAAGTACCAGGAATTGTCACAACAGTCTTGGGCTGTGATCACAAAACCCACAAATGTCTTAACCTGCCAGTTTGGGTATCAGTCTTGGCTAGAAGGCATTGACAAAGACTCTCAGGAACATGTACTTCAGAATGCTGGGTTTGTTGCAGTGGTGGTGAACATGCTTTGGGGAACTGTAGGGCTTATCAGAAAGAGGCTGTTGAACCTAAAAATAGATTTGGGCTTTGGTTGGGTAATTTGGGGGATGGTCTAAAGACAACGAAGAGTCACTAGGTTGTCAGAAAACGAGTAATTCTACAAGTATTCCATTAAGTCTTAACCTGTAGGGAGGACAAATGAATATAGATTATACCCTACTTTTTTTAAATTTGGTCACACTTTAAGAGAATGTTTCAGTAGGAAACTGAAAAACCTGTTGATGGCTGTAAGTCAACTAAACTTAAGGAAAAGGTACCTTTATTATCAAATTCTGAAGACAAACAAATAGAGCTAGATGCAAAGTTAAGACAATCTTTAATCCAGTGTCTTGCCTCAGCTTTAAACTGCCATTGTGACCCTGACCTTGTGGAACCATTGCTTGTTACCAACAACACCCCCAGAACTGCTGCTGCTCATTTATTACTGAGTCCACCCATTGCTCAACTGCCTTTGCTTCATGGCAGCAATGTAAACCTGTTTCTAATACTGCTCCAAAACAGCATCTCAACCAGAACTGGTCTCCCTTCCCTTAGGACATCCCCAGAACCCTGCAGCAGGAACTCAGCTCTTACTAAAGATGGTAGGTACCACATCCCCTTATGAATGTACTCTTACTTTCCAGGCAATGAGTGATTTTGCCAGGTAACAGGCTTCAGTCTGCTGGTCTTTGAATAGCCTAGCAGATGAAAGTTATTTAAGCTCATGTGTACTGCTGTCCTTTTGTGTCGGCCTAGAGAACACCAACCGTGGTGAACCCAACACTGCTGCATCCCTACAGCCAGAAGTCACAGTTCCGGTGGATTTGTACCACCACCGTCATACTGCTAGTGATTTTACTGTTTCTTCAGTCCCTTTTTAATTGCTTCATACCTCCTCTAACAACCATTTCATTCCCTGAAGACTTGCTTCACAGGAAAAGCAAAAAAATATACAAGAAAAAAAAAGCTGCATTCACTTTTATCTTTTTCTCTACAGGAAGTGTCTCTTCTTAATGGCCAGTAACTCAACATGTGCTAAATTTTCCCCTACTTCATGAATTCTGTTAGGTTTGATAGGGGTTTTGTTCATTTTTTTATAGCTTCAGTTAGCACCTGCCAAACATTTAGCTCCAGATACATCTGATTCCAGATCTTTTTGCAGTTTTCCCCAGGTGAACTTAACACTGCCTAAGTGTATTCTTTCTTCCTAACTTCCTGTCATTGATGACATCTTTACCTTTCCACTTGCCCCAATCAGAAACTGGCCTTTTTTGGAGTCCTCCTCTCCCTTAAGCCCCAAATCCAATAATTCCCAAGAACAGAATCATGGTCCTATATATCCTGGAGTTGTCTCGCCTCAGTGCTGAAGTCCTACATTCTATTTTGTTTTAAAATCTACTGAGGTCACCAAATCTTGCATCCTACAGTCCATTCTCCATCAGCAATCCAGGAAGCTTTCAAAAGCTACATGCCATCATGAAACCCTTTTGTAGTAGAACTTCCCATCAGGAGGTTCTTAAACGTTGGAAGGAGAAAGCAGGGGCGGAACAGAACTAAGCACTATTTAATAAAAATTGTCATACATAACGGTTCGGGAGAAATAGCTCAACAGTTAAGAGCACTGGCTGCTCTGGCAGAGTACCTGGGTTTAGGACCCCAGCACCCACATGGCAGCTAACAACCTTAAGTAACTCCTGTTTCAGGAGCTCCTGCAGCCCTCTTCTGGCCCTCTTCGGACCTCCGCGGGCACTGCGCGATGGGATGCGCTTACATACATGCAGATAATACTCTAATACACATAAAAATATTTTTTTAATTATTGAAGTATAGTCTGCTAAAATCAATCCTTTCCGTTAGTTCTTGGCGGAAAGGCCTGGTCTCCACAAACCTTATTCCAGCCAGTGGGCGGAAAACAAACCAGCCTTGGAAACACAATCCTCTATCCCCACTTCCTGCCCCGCCCTTTGCAGGGAGCTACGTGGGGCGGGGCTCCGGACCGAGAGGTGGGACTTCCGGCTTCATTTTTTCCGGAGACAGCGGCTTCTTGCCCGAGCGGGAAGTTCAAACTGCTGCCTCCTGTGATTTTTACTGCCGGGTCACCCAGTGGCCCCTGCCCGCTCAGTTGCCAGGATTTGGAGGGCGTCTCTGCCAAAGCATTTCTTGAGTCCATGTTCTTCGGCGGATGTGATCATTTTTCTTTAAGAAATATCACTTGCTAAATGTCCAAGAAGAATCCCTGGAGATGCGCTCGCGGAAGGTATGGTTTCTGTACTTTGGGCGGAGAAAAGCTCGGAGGCCGTTGGCCGTTGTGCCCCTTGACTCAGCCTTGCAGCCTCGAGCTGCGGGAGAGTGCTACGCGTTTGTTGGTGGTTTTGATGCGGGTTCATCTCTCCCCCACGCCTTCTAACTAGATACCCAGTTTGAAAATCGAAGTTTACCACTGATACAGACTTGAGGGTGTAACGCAACAGAAATATAAGATAGGAGGCAGAAAATGTGGGTTAGAGCCAGATTATGCTTTCCTGTGGTAACGCCAAGAACTTTAGACATCACACTTTCTATGTCTGCTTGATTCTTTAGTAATAAAAAAAATAATGAACCTCAATAAAACTAGTACACGGGGGAAGGGGGCAGAAATAGCTCTTTTCCTACTTTGGAATCCGAAAATATAAATCTGGCATTTGTGTATCAGCACCTGTTTTTTTCTTTATTTTATTTTTATTTTATGTGTATGCGTGTATTGCTTGCATGTGTATAAGTGCACCGGTGTCATGCAGTGCCCACAGAGTTCAGAAGAAGGCTTCAGTTCCCCTGGACCTGGAGTGTCAGATGATTGTTAGCCACCACGAGGGTGCTGGAAATCCAACCCAGGTCTTCTGCAAGAGCAGTCAGTGCTCTTTAACTGCTGAGCCACCTCTCTAGACCTAGCACCTGTTTTTTCTTGACACATCAGACAAAGCTATGTGTGTATGTACATACATATTTCCATCTATTGGCATGAGTATTTGACAAGCATGTAAACAAGGAATGTAGAGAAGTTAGTGTGGGCTGACTTGTGGAAAATTACCTATGACAGCAATACTAGAGATGGACCGGAGAGAGAAATTGGAGAAAAAACTTAGTTGTAGGAATTGAGAGAAGAGCTGCCCCAAGAGGAGCAGCTATATACAAAATCAATAGGACTAGTTACAGGAGTACAGAAGAAAGCAGAAGTGAAAGGTTTTGCTAACATTGGCATCCAGTGTTGAGCTGCCTTAATGGCGCTTAGTGTCACATTGCAAACTCAAGATGAACAAGAATTTATGCATTTATTCTTTCATCTTTTGATGAAAGTATATTTGCCTAACAGTATTTTTTGCCTAATGCAAATTTAAGTACCAGACATGCTTGTGAGTAAGATAGATGAGGTCCCTGCTCTTTGAGTTTGTATCCTAGTAAGAGAAAACAGCAAGTAAAAAGTTTTGATAGCTATACATTCTACAAAGACAAGAGGTAAGGTAAAAAAAAAAAAAAATGGGAGCAGTTTTAACTTAGGTGATCAAATTAGACCTTGTGCAAGTGGCATTTGTATTGAGAACCTAGTAAGGACAGGGAACTAGGGATGTGATAAGCCAAGAAGACAAAACAAGCAGAAAGAATGGTGCAGAGATTCTGAGATGGGAAAGAACATTCACAAACCCAGTTTGACAAAAGTGATCTGAACAAGGGGAAGGGAGGTGCGAGGTGCTATTTAGGGAGTTTGGCAGGGTTATGGTCTGTGGCCTTTCGGGCTGTAATTTAGGAGTACATATTTTAGGTGCAAATAATATTGACTTTAAAAGCAATGAGTAAATTGAAGCGGATGTTAGAAACATCTACTTTGGGAGGAGCTTATTAAGTTATAGTTTACTCGATTGGATTAGATTTATCTGTGGAGCAAGGATATAAAAGTCTAGCGGGCTAGCAGACAGCTGGCTGAAAGAGACTTAGAAGTTCTTAAGAAAATAATTAAAATTGTGTGAATCTTCTTAAGAGATACCACATAATTTAATGTTTACTTAAATCTAGACATATTCCATACAAGATTATAGGCTATTTTGTCCATAGTTTCTTACATTCTTTTTGTGTGTGTGTCTTTTTTTTTTTCTTTGCAGAGCTGAGGACCAAACCCAGGGCCTTGCGCTTGCTAGGCAAGCGCTCTACCACTGAGCCAAATCCCAAAGTAAGGCTGAAAAGGAACAAGTACTATTAAGGTCAGTTCTTAAAGAATCCTTGATTAAAGTAAAGACAGAAGTGGAAAGAGAGAAATCCTTACCAGCCCAAAGTGGGGTTGGGAGTTAGGGAGGATAGCAGGAGAGGAGTTTGGTACAGGGCAGATACACAACTTCATCACAGTCTGACCATGGTCTAGTAGGATGAAGACTGAAGGCACCTGGGTCTAAGAAGACATTGTGCCCATTACGAAACAGTGAGTAGAAAGAAGAGAAGGCTGGATTGTAGTACAATGAAGACTAGTCAGAGAAAGTAGGCCGTGATGGTTTACTGTACCTAGAGGTTCAATGAGAGGAAATAGCCACACACTGGAGAAGTATTACATATGGGAAATTTTGTTTTCGACAGGTAAAATTTGATCACTTGAAGCTGGGTGTGATGGTGCATGCCTTTCTGCTCAGAAGACAGAGATTGAGATCAACCTGGTATACCTCGTGAATTCCAGGCCAGCTGGGACTACGGAGAGACCCTGTCTCAACAAAAAGAAAAAGAAAAAAAAAAGGGAAAACTTGATCACTTGAGTAGCTGAAGGAGATAAATGAAAGTGATAGAACGTTAGAAAAGAATTAGTATCTCAAAAAAGTCAAGCATAGTAGTGCACACCTTTTATCCCAGCACTTGGGAGGCAGAGGCAGGCTGATCTCTGTGAGACTGAGGCCAGCTAGGGCTTTAGGGAGACCCTGTCTCAAAAAGATGAAAAACAAAAAAAAAAAAAGGAGAATTAGTGTATCATAAGATTTATTGAGATTTTACAAGGCGATTTCCACAGTGCAAAGTATTGTCATATGTATTTTCTCACTTAAACCCTACAACAATCCTGAAACTACCCTCATTTCACAAATGAAGAAACAAACAACCTGGGGCTTCTGCTAGTAAATAGCAGAGTGTGAATGAAACCCAAATTTCTAATTCCCTTTCCACTACAAAGGTAAGGAGAACACAGAGAAACTAGTCATTTTGGAGACAGAAATTGAATTCAGGAAGTGAGGACTAATCTGAGACACTACATAAACTTGTCCAATGGTAACATGAAACTGCTTCTTTAATGCCAGACTGGGGGCAGTAATTGTGATATTTGGGTTCCTTCAGTGGTCTCTTCTTTTAGCCTTAATGGTTACTCTTAGCCTCTCTTTTGCATGTATTAAAATGATTTGCTGCATTCTCTTTAAATTTTTATTTGTGTGTATATGTACATCTGTACATACAAGTGCATGCAGGTTCATGCACACATGCCACAGCATGCATGTGCAGGTCAGAGAAAAACTCTGTTCTCTTTTTCTATAGTGAAATACAGGGATCAGGCCCAGTTCATTAGGCTTGCATGGCAAGCACCTTTACATGCGGAACTATCGTGCTGGACTGATTTGTCATGTTCTTATCACAGTGTAATCTGTTCATTTGAAATGAGATCCTTAGCATATAATTTACAAAAATTGAACTTCAGGAAAAGTAAAACTGAAAAATTTAAAATGGCATTTGTAACTTTGTGAGCTATCTTCTCCTTCCAGGTCAAGTTTTTACAGTGGAGTAAAGTCTGAGGGAGTCAATCAAGGCATTTTGTTAAGGAAGTTCATTTTAGATCATTGACGTGTTTGTGGTAAGATCACTTTTCCTCCACCAAAGCAAATGCAGTGGCAGTGTCTTATGCTTATGTTCTTAGGAAATGCATCTATTATGTTGATGGAACTCTTGTACATTAAGGAGACGGTGCTACGAAGGTGTCACTCTCTATCATACTGATGGCAGTTGAAGTGCAAATGGTACTCTATGAGGATGACTCTGTGCAAGTGCAATATGCTGACGGCTCCAAATTGCAACTTTCTCCTTGTGGCTCAGAATTTCTATTTGAAAAGGCACCTCTTCTTTCAGCACATCCTTTAGAACAACCAGAGAGAATTCGTCAACGGACACACTTTGCTATTAGCACTTATCGGGTCAGGTCACAAAAAAAATACTCTTTTTTGATACAAAAATATTGTTGGGGCTGGGGATTTAGCTCAGTGGTAGAACGCTTGCCTAGCAAGCGCAAGGCCCTGGGTTCGGTCCTCAGCTCCAAATATATATATATATATTGTTAAAGTGGGATAGAACATGAAAAGTACATAGAATTCTGGATTGTTGGTATTCTAAACTGATACTCAACTTATTGAACATTTCTTTTTACAGGAGCAACTGCAGCGTGCCCTAGATTTTCGAAACTCTTCGGCTACTTGCCCTTTTCTATCTGAAAGCATCATACCTTCTGAAAGAAAAAAGGTGATTTTTTTTTTTTTTTTTTTAAGGCCTCACTTTTATGAGTAATATTTGAGTTCAGGTGATTGTAAACAGGTCATTTAACATGAAAACAGAGAAATGCTGTAGAATGCAGAGACATGGATTTCACCAGCCTAAGGAACACAGAAGTCAATAGTTTAGTACCTTACTATTTATGTAAGATTATAGCATTTCAGATTGGTGACTTTTCTCTTGTGTCTCAAAATTAAGAAATTTTATAAATGTTTTAATAAATCATGTAGTTATTAATGTATAAGTACAATATGGAAGTATGTATAGGTATAAAACCTTTACTCTTGTTTATGTTTTATTTTGGATTTGCCAGAGTGGGAGAGGGGTGTTGTTTTGTAGCCTTGACTGGCCTGGAAATATAGAGTAGGCTGGCTTCAAACTCATGGAGATCCACCCGCCTCTGCCTCCCGAGTACTGGGATTAAAGATGTAAACCACCACACTGAGCTACCTCTGAGTATTCAAACTGTTTTAAATTATTCTTTAAGCCACCTGGGGTTTATTTTAGTTAATGATGTGCCAGGTGCCTTCTAGGATAGGCACTTCATGTCACTCTTTAACAGTATTTTCTGACTGCTGCCCCATAATTCCAGCACCACTTTTAAATATAATTGTCTTTTCTCCTTTGCTTTGAAAAGTATTATTATCATATTATCATATGTCACATTTTAGAATATGGTTGAATTTGTTTTTGTATTTTCTGTCTTGTTCTTTCAGTGACTTTAATGCTAGGTCCATACTATTGAAGCTCTGATTGCTCCTAATATAGTTCACCATAGCACAAGTTTGCATCCATTTCTGTTCTTTTTCAGAGTAGACTTTGAGATAAGTGGTCTGTAAATTCATTCATCCCTAATTCATTGTATATTTCAAACTAAAGTATGTTTAGAAGTAAATATAATCAGATGATATTTTTCTCTTCTCTCATTGTGTGTTTCTAAAAGATAACTATTAACATCCAGTGTTCTGGCAAATCCTGTATTCTCTCCATTTTTAATCTCTCTAGGTAATAAAAGTACAACTATATGAGATCATTCTTACACAGTACTTTAAATATCAAAAGCACGAACAATTTGAACAGTAACAGAAAATACCATGTTTTGTTTTTCCCCTCAATTCAGCATATCTTCATCGATTTCTCAGACGTGAAGTGGCCCTGTCCTGATACATATGATAACACATGTTTGGAGAGTGGTGCTGTGAAGATAACATCATTAGATGGACGTGCATACCTTTGCCTGCCCAAATCTCAGCATGAATTCACAGTACATTTTTTGTGTAAAGTGAGCCAGAAACCGGACACATCTGTAATATTGTCAGAAAAAAGTAATCAGGCACCAAAAGATAAATTCGTTGAAAAGACCAGCAAAATCTGTGCGTATCAAAGTTTATCAGGACAAAGATTAAAGAATAAAGAAAATGAAGTTCATTACCAGATCTTGAAATCCAAAGAAGCTTTAGAGAAGACACCTGTGAATGGAAATGAAGGGAGGGAGGAGCGGTCTTCACCGGGTACAAAGCACACATGTGTATACGCATGGGTAAAGCAGTGTTGGCCTGTGGCCTCCTGTCCAGAGGAATGGAAGTACCCATTGTCTTTAGCACTTCATTTTTATAACAAAGTTAGTAAAACAGATACAGATTTCACCACAAGTAGTATTTTAACTTCTGCTGTTCCAGAAGAAAGAGGAAAAGAGGTTTCTGTTCTTCCCAGGGCCTTGTTACTTAGCTGTCCTGCCCCACACCTGCACAGGTAATAGGAAAATGGCTTATTGGTCCAAGAAGTTTTTACCAGTCTTTACCTAAGCATAATTTTCTTTCTAAATCATCTGATACTTTTCAATTAACTGACTGAAATCTTTCATTTTAATGGATAGTAAATAATTTCTCTAGCAAAGATGTTACTTGGTGTTTCTTGCTTTCTGTCCATACAGTGAATGTTTCGGGGAGTTTAACGACACTAGCTAGATACTTTGTTAAGAACAGTACAGAGACAGCCAAGATTGAGTCACTGCTTTTAACAGTGTACAGTTGTCTAGTGAAGGTCACTGTCCTTAAAGTCCTGTAAGTGATGGGTCAGGAGCCTGTTCAAGGCTTTCTGAAAAAAGCCCAGCCAGAGGAGCACCTGTGGCTGTTCACTGGGGCCTGCGGCCTCACACGCTAGTGCATGGGGTTGACAGAGTTTTGATTATGTGTTCTTTCTTTCATACTAGCCTCAAAGGCCACCCCTGTTTTAATTAACTTATATGTGTGTTCTTTTTCAAATGGGGTAAATATATCAAGATTTCTTGGTGGCTATATCTTTAACATCCTTTCTAAGAAGAATAATCTAATACTTAAAAATTTGTGACATGAACTTTGGAAAGTATTACAGTGATATTTTGTAGCTAACATTTACAAAGCACTTAGGTGCCAGACACTGTTGTATTTTACCTATTTGATATAGCAACCCCATGCATAAGAGCTATTATCCTCTTTTTGCAGAGGAACTTGAGATTTTGAAATGTTGAAGAACTCAGACAAGTCACATTGCTAGTACTTGTAGAATTGAAATTTGGTCCTAGGTAGTTTCTTAGTGCACATTGTTACTTAAAACAATGTAAGAATGATTTTTAGGGTTGTCATGTTTATCTAATTAATATTGGAATTCTAGAGTTCTAAGTATGTGACTGAAGAGGTTTTAATGCTTCTAAATTAATAGTTTTTCTTTAACCAGGTTTAAGTTGAAATCTATTTTCCTTAATATGGCCTAACAGGTTTTTGGGGATCTGGTCCCTTCCCTTATCTGTAATCCTCACCTCTGTCATCATCTTGTCCTTGAGTTCTCTACTCTTGCTGAACTGGACTTCTCATAGTCCTTTGAATGCTCTCTTAAGCTCTCTTTCCCCCATGGTCTCTGCCCTTGCTCTTTGCTCTGGCAAAAGCACTGTTCATATGTATGCTTGTTTCTGCCCACCCCCCACCTGCCCCCCTGCCCCATCTCACCTTAATCCTCACTTCTTTTGAGTGTTTTTCTCAAAGATGAGCTGGTCCTTATTCATGCCCATAGCATCCAGTACCTCCCCTTTCTTTAGACTCAGTTATTACTGTTTAATGACCTGCCAGATAGGAATCGACACTAGAGGCACAAGACACATCTGCTTTGGGAGACATTAAATTCTCACTGTGTAGAGCACAATGCCTGGCCAACCATAGACATTTCAGTGTTTATTGTTTGAATTCAGGTTAAAATTTAAAAATAAGTAAAACTTAATTTATATAATTGTGCTGCGGTTGAGAATTTCTGAAAAGATTCAAGGAAAAGTAAGATTTTTTTTTTTCTTTTTGGAGCTGAGGACCGAACCCAGGGTCTTACGCTTGGTAGACAAGCACTCTACCACTGAGCTAAATCCCCAACCTCTAGATTTGTTTTTAAATTTTACTAATACACATTCATGTTTTATTCTCTTTGATCTAAAGAGTTAGGCAAGAAATAACCATTATTGTGGCAATTATTCTGAGCAATTTTGAGCAACCAGAATTAATATCTGTATTTTATCCTTCACAGGTGGACTTTTTGTGATTCACTTTTACAGAAACAGTTTGATGGAGAAGAATATTCCTATCCTGAACTTGTGAAAGTGGTTTGGTATAAGGGTGTTACATATAGGTAAGGTAACCTGTGTTGGACTGGAAGCTTTTTTTTTTAACACATAGAGAATGAGACTTGACTTTCAGACAGACTCATAAAAAAACATTGTAGGTTTGCTGGGTCAACTGGTCTCCTGTAATTTATCCTGAATTTTACAGGTCTCAAAACTAATTCTATTACTGCATGCAAAGGTATTGTGATTCACATTAACCATGTTTACAAGAATTACATGGCAGCTCCAAAGCCAATTAGAGGTCTATTTTGCTAGAAAATGTAATGTTTGTATCAGTTATTTAGGAAATTCCTTCTAAACATCAGGAAATCTAGTTGCCTGAATTGATCACATTATAAGGTTATTTACAGATGTTAGATAGCCTCAGGGCGAGTCTATCAAAGGAAATATTATGTAACTGCTTTGTGCCTGTACTACTCCATTGAATTATTCCTTCCCCACAACAGAGGTACCTGTCTAGTGCCTAAGATGCAGTGTTGTCCAGATGGAGAGTTTCATTTCCATGAACAATACTAGAAAAGCATTTCTAAATTCTCTTTCCTTCTGGGGAGCTTTCCTTTTCCCGCGTGAAGACCCACAACTCCTTCCAGCAAAAGTAAATTCTATACAATATATAAGCAGTACCTTGATCATACCTACATATGTAATTAGTCCCCTCTTTACACAGCTGGTTAATCTCATCTGTCAGGTGCCGGTTACACTAGTTTTCATTTATTACAGAACAGTGTTATTTGTTGTGTTCACTTCTCCACAGGTGTTACTGTGGTGACTGTTTATCTGCCCGTCCTTGTGATTGGCAGTGGGCCAGAGTGTGAAGACAGGGTGCCTGAATTCCAGAAGCTCTGAGCATAGTTGTTGAAATAAACATAGAAGCCCCTTTTGTGTGTTCGTTTGCCTTTTGTAATGCTGATTTAGCTGGTTTGGTTCATAATACAAAATTGTCCATGTCTCTGAATTATTTTTTTGTGTTGTTTTCATACATGCTCTACTCTTAATTAGGAAAAAAAAATACTTCTCTACCTTAGGCTTACCCATAAAAATGTGAACTCAATAGAGATTCATCCTGGAGATGGGTCAGTTTTCAAATCAAAAGGAGCTTATTTTGGTAACTATTTTACATACTATTCAAGTCAAGAAGAATCAGAAGAGGTAAGCAAACTATGAAAACTCAAGTGTTTTGGTATATAGCTCTTTCTAAATTCATAATATATATGGAAAATTTGCTGTTTATATATTTCCATACTATATATGGAAAATTTGCTATTTCCTACTCTTTAGTGTGGAAAATTAATATAATCCTACTGTCAGCATTGGCATCTGATTACTTAGTAATCACTTCATTTTTACTGTAGTCACACCCAGTTACTCATTAGTACCTGAAACAGTTTGTGTTTAAATCAGAAGCTAAACTTCTGTCATAAAATTTTATCAATAGAAAATGCTAAAATAAGAAGCATTACTTTTGAGTCGTTATACTACTTTTAATTAATATTTGCTCACTAAAAAGCATATATCTGGTAGATCCTGGGCTAGGGAGATGTTTCTGTGGGTAAAGTGCTTGCTGTACAAGTGTGAGGACCTGAATTTGGATCCTAGAGCCCACATACAAGGTGGACATAGTAGCACATGCAGCTATAATCCCAGCATGCCCCCACAAGCAGATGAGAGGCTGAGACAGAAGAATCACTAGAAACTCCTGAGCCAGCTAGCCTGGTTTATACAGTATAAACAGCAGAGACTGACAAGGTGGAAAGTGAGGAACCACGCCAAGCTTGCTGTCTGACTGCAAGTGCATGCCCATACTCACACACTCACACACACACAGCATATTTCCCCAACTGTGTAATTGTTTCTCTCATTCTCTCTTTAAACACAGTACCATGGGTTGCATGCAAGGCCTCTACTCTTGAGCCACATGCCCAGCCCTCTTTTTAATTTTTTAAATTTGAAACACAGTTTCCAGGGCTAACCTAGAACTCGTTTTGTTACCTGAACAAGCCTTGAATCTGCTTTGTTCCTGCCTCAGCCATCCAAGTAGAAAGATAAATATAATGGATCCCCAGATAAACATTTCCCAGCTTGCTTGTCCCTACTCTCCTCCTCCCATCTTTACCCCCTATTTAGTTAGTTTTTGTTTGTTTGTTTGTTTGTTTGTTTGAGATACGATTTCACTATGTAGCCATGGATGGTCTAGAACTAAATACATAGAACAGGTTGGCCTGAACTCACAGAGATCTACCTGCCTCTACCTCCTGAGTTCTGGGATTAAAGGAGTTCTGGCTATCTCTATTTTTAAGTAAATCTCCAAGTGTCATTTCATTCATAAATATTTCAGTGTATATTAAAGCACATTCCCTATTGAGGTCTGCTTCTAAGAAAGTGTTCATCAATAAGCATTAGTTGAACACTTGGCCGGGACACTGAGAATGATAAAGACAAAAGAGTTCCAGTCCTCAACAGTTTAACCTAATGTTGGTCAGAGAAGCAGTGAGATGAAATGCAAGTATGTCCAGCATGTATGTTATGAGTGTGTGCATGTGTTCTGGCACTGCATGAGACAAACAGGGAATAACTATACATGGCCATGTATAGTTAACTGCTGACTGCAGTGTGTTCAGAGGGACTATAGAGTAGGTACAGTGCATCTTCGGTGGAGCATAAGTTTTACTCAGCTGGAAGGGAATGATAATTTTTCTACTGAAGCAAACATACCATGGTACAGAACCATGAGCTTTTAGGATAAAACATAAACTTCTAAATGAGTCTTAAATTTGTGGCAGACTGCTGTGGCCTTCATTCTTAGACCTCTGTATGTAGCAAGTTTGCTATTCTGTGTCTGCTTTCCAGAAAAGATTTAGAAACAATTGACTTTCTTTTTTGGGGATAAGTTGTTTACTTCTTTTTTTAACTCATGCTCCAAAATAAATATCAAGTGAATTAAAGAGCTAACTGTAAGAAACCAAACTTTACAATTGTTTTTTAGAAAGGACAGCAGCGACCTAGAAGAAACTATTCCAAATTAAATCAGTAATAAAAAGACCAAAAACAAATGAACCAACAAAAAAATCCTAAAAGAAAAATGAGCATACCAATAACTGCAGGTTAAGCCATAAAACAATATTAATGAAAAATGCACATATTTTGAAAACATGTTTAATTTTATTTCTTGCACCAGGGACTACAAATTAAAGTAAAATGATAACATTTTTCACTTACCAAATTGTCAAAAACTGGGCTCAGTAGAAGTACCCCACTTTTAATGTGAATATAACTCCCAGAACTCATGAAAGAAAGCCTGCTGTAGTAGTACACGCGTGTAATGCCAGCACTGGGGAGCAAGAAACAGACAAATTCCTGAAGCTCGCTGGCCAAGCAGCTTAGTCTAGCCTACTTGGTGAGCTCCAGGCCAATGAGGCCCTATCTCAAAAAAATACAAGATATGGCACCTGAGGAATGGCAGTCAAAGTTGTCCTGTGACTTCCACACATGTGGAAGTAAAGCTAAACATGCTTTCAAAATACGTGTTTTTCATTAAGTTCGGCCTTCATGGAAGATAATTTGATGATATCAAATTGGTCTAAGACCAGCCTGGGCTACATAACTTAGTTCCAGTCCAGCCCAGGCTACAGAGTGAAAGTGGCAGTCTGCAGTTCAGATTAAGATCTGACTTTGAAACCTATCTTATGTCCCTGATGGTAAAGACTATGAGTTACACTCTTCTGTAGTTCAGATCAGATCTGTGCTGCTGCTTACCCCTCCCCCTCAGTTTCTGCATCTGAAACCTCACACCAAGCCAGACTTGGTGGCACTTGCCTCCAATCCCTGCAGAGATGAGTGGATCTCTTGAGTTCAAGGCCAGCTTAGCCTGCATAGTGAGTTCCAGGCCAGTCAGGGCTGCATAATGAGAGCCTGTCTCAAAAAAATAAAACTAGGTACTGATAGTTCTTATTCCAGAGTTATTTTCAGAAGTACATGAGATAATCCCTGTAAAGTATGCAGCATGCTATCACACTCTACTCCATACATGTTAGCTATTGCTATTATATTTATTGTGACTACACCTTTAATCCTGTTATGATCAGTAAACAGAAACCAGGAAGTTAGACAAGAAGACTATAGACAGTGCTGGGAAACACTAGCAGATCTGAGAAAGGCAATTCAGAAGAAATAACAATTTTTAAAAATTTTTTACAAATCCGAGCCTTTAAATAATACAATCTTCCACAAATTCTAGGAGTGGTTCTTCTATTTACAAAATATAGCAAAGTCATATATCCACTCAACTAAATCACTTTTAAAACCTATATCGCCTTTTTAAAAATTTATCTTAAGGGAAAAGTGTGGCTTATGTGATAAGTTTCCTGGTAATGGTGAGGAAAGTTAGATTGATTAGTATGGTAGCTTACATATACCAAGATTTAAATTGAGCAGTAGTTTATATATATGCTGTCAGAATGTAACTTGATTAGATATGGGGAACAATGGAAAGGCATCATAAAAAAAAAAAAAACATTAGAATATAATAGGTTTGGGGCTGGAGAGATGGCTCAGAAGTTAAGAGCACTGGTTATTCTTGCAGAAGACTCCAGTTCACATCCCCATACCCATGTGGCAGCTAACAGCTGTCTGTAACTTCAGTTCCAGGAGATCCGATGCCCTCTTCTGTCCTCCTCCGGCATTGCACATGGGTGCACTTGCACACAGGCAGCCATAACACTCATACACACAAAATTTTTAAAAATTAAATAATAAAATGTTTAGGTTTTATGGGATTTTGAGTATTAAAATAATTGTTTACCTTGTCAGTATGTAAATGCATACTTTAAGAAAAAATAGCTAAATAATAAAGGCACAATTTATTATTGAGATTTTTCAATTTAAACTTTTAGAGAGAAGAGAAAACTTATTCCACAAATAACCTTCCTCCAGACAGACCAGGAAGCCTGTTCTCTGTGGGTTCTCTGATTAAGCAGGCGACCAGGTAAGTTCACAATCAACTGACCAAAGTATTATGCATCTGAATACCTTGATGGATTTTCTTCTAGTGAATGATAAAACTTAGAATTGGCAGGTACATTGGAAATATATGTCTTTGGTAAAAATCTGTCGAGTTTTCTGTTCTCATAAGTTAAAGTAAACTGTATCATTACAAGAGTACTACTGTCTTTGAAATTGAAGTGTGGAGAACCAGTACTGGCAGGGAGTAAGTGCCTCTTTGCAAGTGTAGCCTTGCTATGGTTGCCTCAAGTCTAATTGGGAACTTGATGAGACATTTGAAATTCTCTTACTTTATTATCTTCAAAATAATAAAGTTTTATGAGAGTGTACTAAAGAGAAAACGTGGATTGGTTCCTTACTTGTTTTTAAATTCTCTTGATTAATCTGTAGTGCCCAGAAGAATGAAAGCACATTGTTAAATTATTTTTATAAAGTTCTGTGTAAACAATTTCCAAAGTAGATTAAAAGGCCTAGAAATTGTCATTTGATTTCATACAAGTAGTTGACTCACTTTCCCACTGTCTTTGGGCTACACTAAACTTTTCATCGCCCTGGGGGCCAACAAGAAGGCACAGCAGGTAAAGGTGCTTGCTGTGCAGGCGTGGTGACCCAAGTTTGATCCCTGGAACATATGTAAAGGTGGAGAGAACTAACTCCACACAGTTGTCCTCTGACACACATGCCATGGCACATATTCCTGCATACACATGCATACACTAATTATTAATTTTAAAAATTTAGCTGAAAATGATCTAAGGCGTTATTTCTTTGGTGAAAGTTCAAGTAGCCTTAAATAGTAAAAGTAGGACAGAAGGAGACACAGAGCTCCCTGTTCAGAGCTGAAAATTTTCTGGAAGAAAGATTTCTCAGCACATTTCCAGTACTGAGTTGCCATTGCCATTGCTGAAATATCAGAAGATGTAGTTTGCAAACATTTAGGAAATGTTTTTCGTGTCCACAGAATTCTTCAGCACTGTACCAGAGTAAGGCTTTCTCTAAGCCATAACTATCGTGTATGCTGCTGGAAAATGGTATGTTAAAGTGATTTCAAAAGCAAGATTTTTGGTTGTTTTATTGTTTGAATTCATACTTGTAAGTTCTAACAGCTTTCATCTACGTTGTGTCAGAAATTATTTGGAACATTAAAAATTCTCATTCAAATTTGTCTATTCAAGAAAATACCCACCTCAGGGACTGGAGAGATGGCTCAGTGGTTAAGAATACTTCCTCCTCTTGCAGAGGACCCAGGTTGATTCACAGCACCCAAATGGCAGCCAACAACTGTTCATAACTCCAGTTCCAAGGCTCCAACACCCTCTTCTGACCTCTTCTCACCATTTTATACATGTGGTGCACTTACATACATGCAGGCAAAACATTCATGCACATACAATAATAAAAATAATAAATATTAAAAAAATAAAATAACCACCTAATATGCCGGGCATGGTGGCGCACGCCTTTAATCCTAGCACTTGGGAGGCAGAGGCAGGCGGATCTTTGTGAGTTTGAGGCCAGCCTGGTCTACATAATGTGTTCCAGGATAGCTGGGGCTACAAGGAGACCCTGTCTCAAAAAGATAAAAAAAAATAAAAATAAAAAAATAACCACCTAATAGATAAAAACCTAATAATGTTTGTCTAAACACTGAAAAATCAGGCTTATGTGTTACATATTTTTTTTTAAAGCCCAATTCATTGTACCTGCTAGGTAGATACTCTACCACTTAGGTAATCCCCATGCTCTTGTATTATACTTTTATTGTCATATGTAGTTTTTCTATTGTATATGATTCTTCACTCCTACCATGCTGGAGTTTGAACCCAGGGCTCAGAGCATGCCACTCATACACTAATCACCAAGCTAACTGCTGAGCCATCTCTTAGCCCCTATCCTTTTTTGTCTTTTTGAAGCAGGGTCTCCCTGTAGCCCCAGCTGCCTTGGAACTCACTATGTAGACCAGGCTGGCCTTAAACTCAGAGATCTGCCTGCCTCTGCCTCCCAAGTGCTGAGACTACAGGTGTGTGCCACCATGCCTAGGTTTCTTTGACTTTTTGACACAAGATTTTCCTATGTAGCTCAGGCTGGCCTTGAACCCATTATAGGTTGGCTTCAAAGTTGGGATGCTAAAGCAGGAGGATCTCAAGTGCTGGGATTACAGACATGTACCACCATGGCCACCTGATTTTTTTTTTTTTTTAATGAAGAGGAAGTGATGAGAATTGATTGACTCTGAACTGTGTAAAAAAAGTATTATTATAATATATGATAATATATGAATATAATAGTGTTATAATGTATGAATATGATAGTATTATATTTTTATAAATTTGAAAGTAAATTCATTAAACGTTGCTTGAAGGAAGTGATTCTCCAACTGTGATTTCTGAATCCAGTTGACTATAAGCCTGTATGGTTCTATGTAATTCATACTTTTTGCATATTTTCTAGGTAAAGTTATGTAAAGTTCATAGTATGGTAGCTTACAAAGACATTGGAACGTAATCTTGTTAGATAGACAGTTTTGAATATCCAACGCTTGAAAAGTTATAGCTTGAATAGAATTCCTAGGACTGAACTTTTGAATAAGAATAGTTGTCACAGAGTTTGTTAATAATTATTTGTCTTCTTAATGGATAATTCTGTTTCCTGCTGTTTTTATGTACTTGGTTTTAGATGCCTAAGGAAAACGATAGCAATATCCTACCTGTGCTTGTGAAAGAATCACTCATCCCAAGTATGGGAAGATTCCTTGCCTATTCTGATGACAAAGTGCATGCTGTCTTCTTAGATGGCATCACTCTAACACTAAATTGGAATTTCAGCTCCTCTTCCGAAAAACAAGTGAGTATACTTCAGATCAATTTTTTTAAATTTTATTTTATTTTAGGCCAGGCATGGTGGCGCATGCCTTTAATCCCAGCACTCGGGAGGCAGAGACAGGCAGATCTCTGTGAGTTCAAGGCCAGCCTGGTCTATATAATGAGTTCCAGGACAGCTGGGACTACAGGGAGACCCTGTCTCAAAAAGACCAAAAAAAAAAAAAAAAATGTATGTGTCTGAGTGTTTTGCCTGCATGTGTGTAAGTGCATCCTTGTTGTGCAGTGTCCACTGAAGTCAGAAGACAGCATCAGATCCCTTGGAACTGGAGTTACCAACAATTGTTAGCTGCCATGTGGGTGCTAAGGGATTGAACCTGGGTCCTATTCAAGAACACCTGGTGCTCTTAACTGCTGAGCTATCTCTCTAGCCCCCTGAATTTTTTTTTTTTTTTTTGAGGCACAGTAAGATTTATTAAGACACTTGTAATTGTCATAAAAGTTGTGCATATGGGAGACTATTGTGATGTGTTGATACAATGTGTACATTATATATTATTAATATCAGGATAAGAATAATCTGTCTTCTCAAACATTTATCGTTTCTTTGTGGTAAAAACACTCAAAATCTAGCTTTTTTGAAATATATCATACCTTATTCTTAGCTCTAGTCTATTTATAGTCTGAAATATATCTTGGTTATTTAGCCATATAAAACAGAACACAGAAAGCAAAGTACTACCTTATCTCAATTTTTTAAAATATTTTGTTTATTATTTTTTAATTTTATGTTTTATGAATGTATTGCTTGCACATATATAAGTGCGCCCATGTCATGTAATACCCAAGGAGGTGAGAAAAGGGCACTGCTTCCCCTGGAACTAGAGTTACATATGGTTGTTAGCTGCCACGTGGGTGTTGGGAATCAAATTGTTGTGAGCTGCCATGTGGGTGCTGGGAATTGAACCCAGGTCCTCTGCAAGACCAGCCAGTGCTCTTAACCACTGAACCATCTCTCCAGCCCCTCAATTATTTTGTAATTATAAAATCTGTCAAGAAGCTTTACTGATCTCATTGGCAAAAATCAGAAAAGTGTAACAAATAGTCATTTTTATAAAGAAAGCATATTATAGCAAAAAAGATTAATATTTTTATTCTTCCATAATTTTCTGTGTGGGTGATGACTAACATATCCATAACCCTTATAAAATATAATATTTAAGTTCTCAAAATTTTTAATGATTCATCTAGTTTTTTAAAGTTGATAAGAAAGTTATAGGTGGTTGTTTTAGTTTTTAGCTTTAGAATTGTAAAATTTGTCTTGTCTTGCTTCTTAAGGTAAATCCAGGTCTCAACTTAGGTTGGTGTAGATTGACTTTTCCTGATGGACAGAATCAGTTAATTCAGATTAAGCATCCTGGAGCATATGAAAGGTACTGAAAAGCAGTTTTAAAAATTATTTTCAGGATGGGGATGTAGCTTGTTTGCTAAAACACATATATAAGGTCTTGGGTTCAATCCCCAGCACCACAGAATCAATTTTATTTTCATGTTTTGATATAAAGTAAACATAATTTGGAATATCTTTATTTTTATTTTATGTTTATGAATGTCTTCTGTGCATGTATGTAAGTATACCCATGCATATAATACCTGCAAGAAGCCAGAAGAGGCATTGGATCCTTTGTATGTAAGTGCTGTGCCCACAGAGGCCAGAGAAGGCCAGAAGAGGGTGTGAGATCACCTAAAACTGGTTACAGCTTTGTTAGCTGTCATGTAGGTGCTGGGAACTGAATCCAGGTCCTCAACAAGAGCAGCCAGTGCTCTTAACTGCTGAGCCATCTCTCCAGCCCCAGTAAACATAATTTAAATGTTGCATGTATTTTTAGTTTTTCCAGAGTCCAGTTTTCAGTTGCACTGACATTTAACTAAATAAATCAGGCCAGCTTTAAACATTTGTTTGTTTTCAGGTGTTTTTTTCCTAAATGAGACGTTACGAACATGTCTGATTGTGGAGATTAGAATATGGTCAATGATGTTAGCCAGTCCTAATCCCTTAACAAATATGAAAGGTGGTTTGCAAATGATCAAAAATGACTAAAATTAAATATGTTTGTGTGTGTGTGTGTGTGTGTGTGTGTGTGTGTGTGTGTGTGTGTGTGTATGCCTTATATATATGTAAAAAGGAAGGGTCAAATCAGCGATGTTTATTCTACATGTGAAGATTCTTGAAATCAGTCGTTATGAATATAATTTTCTCGTTGGCTAGTGTAATTTGTTATTAGTTATGATAATTCTACTTGTGGTAGTTTTGGAGCTATAGTGATGTTACTTGAGAATATCCACAAAATTGTTTGTTTGTTTGTTTATTAGAAGAAGCATTTCATTACAACAGCATTAACCTATTCAATAACATTTTTCTGAGCTAGGGTACATCTCTTTCAAAATTGGCTGTACATTTCTAGGTTTACAGATGAATTATTACACTTATAAAATCTTATACTCATTATAAACTCTCTAAGAGATAAAATTAAATTAGGTTCCAATGTTTAAAAAAGATCTCCTCTTCATTGTCAAAACACACAGTTTCATACAGAAAAATTCATTCCAAGCCTATTGACAT